GAGCAGATTCATCACTTGAGCAGCCGAGAGGAGTTTTCCTTTCTTCAAACTGCTCAAGAAAAAGTAAACTTTCCAATGGAATGACGAGGCTCAAATGGCGTTTGAAAAGCTGAAAGAATTTCTAAGCGAGCTACCCCTACTGACAAAGCCCGAGCCCGGTGACGAGTTGATACTGTATATCTCGGTTGGAGTGGTTTCGTTGAGTTCAGTTTTATTGCGAGAAGGAGGAGGATCCTAGCAGCCTATATACTACACCAGTCGAGTACTTCAAGGAGCCGAGACGAGATACTCCGAAGTCGAGAAGGCTGCCCTAACTCTTGTGATAACAGCGAGGAAGTTGAGGCCGTATTTTCTGAATCATACCATATTAGTGCGAACAAACTTTCAACTCAGAGAGACCTTGGGTCGACCTACCGTCTCAGGTCGGCTCGTAAAGTGGGCGGTTGAGTTGAGTGAATACTCCATCAGATATGAGCCCAGACGAGCCATAAAGGCTTAAGCTTTGGCAGACTTTATCCAAGAGGGCACCAAGGGAGAAGAAAATGAATGGATCATGCATGTCGATGGATCCTCGGCGGCCAAGGGATCCGGGTTGGGAGTCGTCCTCGTGTCTCCCGAGGTCGAGCAGCTCGACTTTTCCATTAAGATGGGGTTCAAGGCCTCGAATAACGAAGCGGAGTATGAGGCACTAATCAAAGGAATTCGACTTGCAATTGGTGGTGGAGCAACAAAAATCACGGCGCATTCTGATTCGCAACTCGTTGTGGGGTAAGTATTGGGAAATTGCGAAGTAAAGGAGGATAGATGTTGAAATATGTCGAGGAGATTCAAAGCCTCATACAAGGCCTAGGAAAATTTGAGTTAACACAAGTCCCACGAGAAGAAAACAAGCGAGTCGACTGGCTCGCGAGGATCACAAGTTCCAATGAAGGGAAGATAGGATGCCACATTACCATGATGCACTTAGAAGGAAGTGTGTTGAGCGAGACAATGGAAGGCGAAGAGAAGGATGATTGGAGGAAGTTGATTCACGAACTCTTGTAGGGACAAGTGCCTTCGGGAGACAAACAGGAGGCAAAAAAAGCTGCTCGATACCTCAGCAAATACTTTGAAGTCGAGGGGATTTTGTATAAGAAGTCGCTAGTCGGGTCCCATCTACGATGCGTTTCTGAAGAAGAAGGAATTCAAGTCTTGAGAGAAATCAATGAAGGGTGTTGTGGAGCACAGGTAGGGTCCCGAGCTCTAGCTGAAAAAGCCTTACAAGCAGGCTACTATTGGCCTAAAACTCGAGCAGCGGCGGAACAGTTGGTCAAAAAATGCGAAAAATGCCAACGCCATGGGAAAATCACTCACATCCCAGCTGAATATATGACGACAATCAATACTCCAATCCCCTTCGCTCAATGGGGAATTGAGTTAGTGGGCCCACTGCCAATGGGAACGGGACAGAGGAAATTCTTGGTGGTCGCTGTCGACTACTTTAGCAAGTGGGTCGAAGCAGAACCCTTAGCAAAAATCACTGAGGAAAAAATGATTCAATTCCTGTTCAACAACATCTGCTGCCGATTTGGAGTTCCGAAGGTATTTGATTTCAGATAATGGAACACAATTCCAAGGGAAACGGATCCAAGCATGGTGCCTCGACATGGGGATCAAGCAACGATTTTCCTCAGTCGCACACCCTGAGGTGAATGACCAGGTTGAAGTAACAAACCGAACCATTCTCCAAGGGTTGAAGAAGCGATTGGAGAAGGCGTCGGAAGCTTGGGTTGACGAGTTGACAATTGTCCTATGGGCTTATAGGACGACCCCAAGAAGCTCAACGAGCCAGTCTCCATTTCACATGATTTACGGAATGGATGCACTCCTGCCCATCGAAGTCGGCCTAAACTCTCACAGGTCGACATTCTATGAGGAAAAGGGAAACGAGGAGATGGTTGAGGAAGCCCTCGACCTAATTCAAGAAGGACGAGAAGAAGCCTGTGTGTGATCCATTGAATATAAACAGAAGATGCGCGCCGCCTTTGACAAGAAAGTCTGAACCAGACGATTCCAGGTGAGTGACCTCGTCCTCAAGCGTGCAGACGCCCTCATACATGTCGGGAAACTGGAAGCGAATTGGGAAGGACCCTACACTATCACAAAAGTGCTCGAGAGAGGCGCATATAAACTCGAGGATAGGGAAGGTCGACAGTTGCCGAGGTCATGGCACGTGATCCACCTCAAATGTTTTTATGCTTAAGGCAATATTCCAATTTCCTTTTGTGCTGAACAATGTTCAAATCGAATTCAGTAATGAAATGAATCACAAGTTTATGCTTCAGTTATGTCTTTTTGCGTTTATCTATCAACCTTAGTATGATCAACTGAAAATTTGAATTTTTCAAAACGGCTATGAAGCCGACTGACTCTTACGACTACGAAGTCGATCAAACAACTACGAAGTTGTATACCCCGAGTGGAATCTCTAATAATCTACGAAGCTTACGACTATGAAGTCGATTAAACAACTACGAAGTTGTATACCCCGAGTGGAATCTCGAATAAGCTACGAAGCTTACGGCTACGAAGTCAATTAAGAAACTACGAAGTTGTATCTCTCGAGTGGAATCTCGACTAAGCTACGAAGTTTACGACTACGAAGTCGATTTCAAGAAACTATGAAGTTGTATCTCTCGAGTGGAATCTTAACTAAGCTGCGAAGCATACGACTAGGAAGTCGACTTAACACTTACGAAGTTGTATTTCAAAAAGAACCTTTCATTATAACCGCAATACGGACGGTTACATCCCTAATATACTAGAAAGTCAATATGAAGCTGCTAAATATTGTTGCTCGTCTTCGACCAGCTTGCAAGAAGGGTTGGGAGAAGACGGGTCGAAAAAACTCCTTGTTTATCAGCCACGAAGCTGTTAGTCATAAACTTTTGTTTAACAGCTATGAAGCTCCTAAAAACGTTGCTCGACTTTGACCAGCTCGCAAGAAAGGTTAGAAGAAGACGAGTCGAAAAACTTGTTTAACAGCTATGAAGCTGCTAAATACGTTGCTCGACTTCGACCAGCTCGCAAGAAAGGTTGGGAGAAGACAAGTCGAAAAACTTGTTTAACAGCTATGAAGCTGCTAGAATCGTTGCTCAACATCGACCAACTCGCAAGAAGGGTTGGGAGAAGAGATGAGATAAGAAAATCGACAAAATACGACAGACAAAGAACGAAAGCAAAGGATAGAATATTATTCATGAAAAGTTCATTACAAGAAGGATCGCCTTGACCTTTACAACCAACGAAAATAGGTCGAGAACAATGAAAAAAACAGCAAAAACAAACAAAACAACCGACATAATCAAGCAAACATCTAGTCCCTCTGGGAATCGGTGGTCGACTTCTCGGCATCATTCTCACCACCGTCGGCATTAGGCTCAGTCCTCGTGCCCTCTTTATCAACAATCGTCTCCGTCCCCTGTGGCCCGTTGCTGCCAGCTTCATCACCCATGGCCTTTTTGCCACCCTCGGCATTCTGAGATTCATCGTCGTCTTCTCGTTTGGCTCGACCAAGTTGGTCGGACCAACCAACGGAGAGGGAGGAACCTCAATTCACCTTAC